TATTTTTTAATATTTGAAGCTGACTGTATAATTTTTGTTTTTTCTGCAGGTTTACAGGTTGCCTAAGAATAAAAACCATAAAGATTATCTTATTAAGCTAAATAAATATATGGTAAATACAAAACCCTATGACTTTAAATATAATATGTTTAAACGGGCAATTCGTTCCGGTCACAAAATACAGGGTGTTAGTTTTCTGTATATATGCATAAAACTAACATCCTCTACTTTGTGACCAATTGACGGAATCAATCATCAGAAACAAATCTATAATATAATGAATATTACCTCTATACTTTGAGATAGGCCATTATATTGTCTAATCAGTAAAGAGAAACTTTTTGGCGATTTATAATATTTCTAGTACTCATAGCTACATAAAGTGATTTCTTCAGTCACCTTAGAAAAAAAAAATAGTAGATTGGATTTATTCTTAGTCGCCGCTTGCAATTCTCCTTCGATTCTCTTAGATACAATAATATCTAGTTCCTTGTCTGATTGTGCTAGTAATTTTTAATTTCGCCACACTTCGTTAACTAACTTTTGTACATTTTGTACTTTCGTACTTGTATGAGATTTTTTAAAACTTTCAAACAATGTTTGGTATAACTTGGATTTGTCTATGTGAAACGACATCATATTTAAACATTAAAATTTGGCTAATGGAATCAATGGTAACACAAATGTTAACTTGCTTTACTATGCTTACAATACGTCTACTCGCTATAGTATCCAAACGAAACAATACACTGATAGAGGAAATTTAGACAAGTGAACACCGCGCGGTAATTCCCCTACTCGGTTCTAAAGCGAGTAGGGGAATTGCCGCGCGCTGTTTACTAAACGTATGCATTATTTGCGGGAATCCCGAAAATGCGTTTCGTTTTCAAGCAAAGACAACGCAATGATCATCTAGACTCCCCTACCCGCCATGTCATCCAAAATAAGCAATACACCTGCATCAGTATATATAACAAACTTTCAGCTAACCTCAGGAATGTCAGTAGTATTGCTAGCTTTAAATGTAAACTACGAAAATTACTAGTTGAAAAATGTTTCTACTCTTTGTCTGAATACCTCGCACTGTGATATATTTTTTTTTAAACTTTTTCATATATGAATACCTGTACGCCTTAAGTTGTCCCTGTTTGTACTTTTTAAATACTTATGTTTGTTTCGTTTTTATTTTTAATTATGTGTACTATGTACCTCCCTCTTAGGACGAGTCTTTTTTCATGATCTACAAGACAATAAATGTATCTATCTATCTAAAGCAAAGAAACCCCCCGCCTCCTCTCATAGTGCTCACGTAATACTTGAACGACCCCATATGAGGCCCAACTGTACCCTTATCACGTCCAGAGAGTCCAAGCGTTGCTACCTACAGAGTACGCCCTAAGAGTAAGATTTTGTGAGTGGTTGTCGCAAGAAAATGCTCGAAACGCTTGTTTTACGGCTGATATTTTGGCCACCTATGAAGGTATTTTTAATCGTAATGCGATAACCACTCTTCGTAATACACACGTTTGGTCCTTTGAGAATCCTCCCGCAGTCGTACAGACACACTTCCAACATCGTTTCTCTTTAAGCGTGTAGGCAGGTATTGTCGATGAACGTTTAGTTGGACCGTTCATATTGCCAGATCGGATGGATGGTCACCAGTATTTGGAATTTCTTCGGAATGATTTACCGGTTAGGAGTTCGTGATTTTTTCAATCAGGTATTCCAGATACGCTGGATCGGAAGGGGTGGACCAATTGCATGGCCTCCACGGTCTCCCGATCTAAATCCTCTGGACTTCTTTTTTACGAGGTATACCGTACTCCAGTTCAGAATATTGAAGAATTGCGTGACCGAATCACAGTGGCTGCCGATAATTTGAGCCTTCAGGCACAGCAGTAAGGAGGTGTATTTAAATTAGTACACCGAAATTGGATTAAGCGCCCTCAAGCTTGCATTGCAGTCATTGGAAACACTTTTGAACAGCTTTCATAAGTAAGTGAACTGTAAAACTCTACTATCTTACTGTCTCGATTTCTGTAAGACTTTTGTTACATCTTTTTTTCGTGTATATATGTGGTTAAAATTTGTCCGGTAAGTTGTGAAACAGCCTGTATAAAGTCAGAGAGTACTTCTTCTAATTGCCAGCAAGGTGCATTATTCAAATACAATTACGTTTAGACGTTCCCTAAGAGCGCAGTTATGGCGCAAACGTGTCTTGTCGTCTTGACATTACGCATGCACCTGAAAATTAATATGACATCGTTAAAATGTAATGCCGTGAGGTATGCCACTGGGACGTCAATATAGAGCCAGAGAGGTGACTTAAGATGCAAGTATATAATTTCATCGTTTTTGAACTTCGTTTTATACCTTGAATTCAGAAACATCTCACTTGATATCTTAGTATTTCGTAAATATATGCTAAAATACTTCTAGTAATAGCATTGCTTAGATAGCCGGTAATGAGTCTGATGTATTTTATACCCTATTTCACAAGTATCCATCACGCTTTGACATCTACTGAGGTGAACAGCTGATCAGCAGTCTGTTAGTCTTCAACGTTGGCAATAACGAGTCGGGTGTAAATCTAGTAAAACTTGTTTGTAGCGTTTTGTTTTTGTATGCAAATGAACTTTTCTAAATAAAAAAGCTTTAAGCAAGTACAAAATGAATCTGTAGTGTCATCAGTAATCATACAAAATATGGCCCTATCTACCTGCATTGACGGATCCGTCAGAATTATGTCCCTTTGCGGATATGAGAAATTTTGAAATATTACTAGATAATCAGCTGTTATTCTACCGTAATGGATACTCGTGAAAAACTCTATACGTGAAAAACTATCCAAAATGAAATGAGATACCAGCTACCTTTCTCCCCTCCGCAATAATTAGAAGTGTACTTTGAAAAGCTTTGTAACTCGTAGCGTTGTAGCTATGTGCTCATATGGCTGCAACGCCATCCATGAGATACTAACCTTTTCAAAGAAATTAGGTAGAATGCGTTACTGAATGGTAAAAGTTACTTCACCACAGATAAAAATGAATGCATCCTTGAAACCTTAGTCTGGTGCCAAATTGATATATGGCGACCTTTTCTTTCTATTATAAAAATCATCGGCCATGAATACGAGTATTCCCGCCCCCGACTAAGGCCGCCCATAATTACATATTTTTTGTGTTGTACCCTTACAAGACCGCCTTTGTAAAAGTTTTGATTTAGTAAACAAAGTAAAGGTACTAAGTGAAACAAATTGAATCGATCCGAAAAACAAAAATCAGAAGCTTTAGGCAGTAATGGAGGTAATATAAAAAGAGTTAAACGACAACTCTCCTCTTTTGGGAATATCATAAAGAGGCGTTATCAAAAAAAATTAGTAATCATGTTTGAAGAACTGGTTTAACTTTTTAAATAAGAGTATCATCTTTTTTAGTTACGTATTCGACAATAATTCACATGAGAAAATAAAGTGAGGAAACTCAATAAATTGTTGTTTTCTTACAAAAGTATTTTATACTTAAAAAATGGCGTCAAGCCGGTTGGCTACAATTCCCACCCACGCAACGCTATCACTAGTTCATAGAAGACTACATTCGGCACAAGTTAGTCCCTTTGAGCTAGCTACAAACATGATAACAAAAAAAATTGTATAGATTGAGTCAGCCAAACAGGCTCATAAAATTAGTCCATACTCCATAGACCCTCCTATTTGACACGTTAACGTTAGGTTTTTCACTGCCCTAAGTATCGACCACTTGACAACGGTGCTTAACCACACCATACAAACATGCCATGAGCGCCAGTCGTTATACAATGAGTCGAGATCAATGCAATCAGACGTACACATAGTTTGGCGCATAAAGGTTGCCATCATCCCGACCGACCTCGTTTTGCGTCTGTAAATATTTATCTATGTTTTAAGGGCAAATGTCCGAAAAAAATATGATACGGGAAATATGTACCCCTTAAATTATCGGGGCTAGAGCATATAAATAAGCTACCGCAAAAATTGAGATTCTGAAAATGACCAGCAGCCTCTAACACGCCAGGAAACGAAGTTTGAGCATTTTCCACTGTATTAAATTATTGGCCCTGCACGCTACCGCCGCTGGACTACGACGATGTGACTATAACGAACATGTTCCTAAAGAAGGTGATCAGTCGAAGAACTATTTAATATGTATCAAAATGAAATGAATAAATATAAGTAATTGATAGTTAAAATTTAATGAAAGTTTTTGAACACTGATTTCAACTTTTTATTTGCTTTAAATCATCACTTTCCCTGTGTCCAAGAAGTGAAAATGTTGTGTCCAGTAATTGAATGTTTTGTCCAATTACTAACTTTTCGTTGCACATTTTGTATTTCAAAAACAACATCTTCAATTATTTGTCACGATCAACTAGAATAAAAATAATATAAAAGTTTGTAGTGTCAAATTGTTCGTAAGGAAATGGTCTGTTAGAAAAAGCCGATGAGCCTTTCTATTTTAAAAAATCAAGTAATCTGGAAAATTTAGTGTCTGCAACCTTTAGAAAAGTTTTAAAATCGTTCGCCTAAAAATCGCATTATTGCCGTGTTACGTGATCAAAAATGAAGTGATTTAAGGATCCATGACATCTAAGATCGAAAAATAAAAATTGAAATTAAAATGATTCCATTTGTCAAATCTGGATAAGTGAGGCGTTGTTGTCCCATTTATAAAAAAAAATTGGAGTTAGTTGTTTCCGCCTAAACCGGTACGTCAAAGCAAGTGAATATGTCAAAAATTGTAAATTCATCTATAATACCTACTAATTTCGTTCTTCTATCTTCAATAATAAAAAAGTCATAGGGGTCAGCCGCCTTGGAGAACTATCCGGTACAGAACAATACCTTTGCTATTGAGGCTACTAAATAGTTTATAAATTTACTGTAAGTACGTTCAAAATTGATGAAGATGACGATCATTTGGATATTGTTATAGGTCACATACGCTAAAGTAGGAGTAACTTACTTGCGACTGTGAAAGGCAGATGCACTCTGGAGGGCAGGGAGGCAGCAAAACATCCAAAGTAGCAGTGTGCAGAAAAAACAGCGCCAAGGCACATCGGATAGGCAGAAGACTGCCCAATTGCATCTGAAAGAAACAGAAATGGTATTTGAAGAAAAAATTGTACAGTAAAAAATAATTTATTGTGTTACGCTTCAGACAGTTGCCAGAAAAAGGACAACTTACTGTTTGCGTAAGGCTAAAGTTTACGATCACCCTTGGAAATTGACGCTCTATGGCTAGGGAGAGCAGCGTAGGCACCACCTCAGATTATGTCCTCAAATTTATAACCTACACTCAAACAAAATAGCAACTACGCGAACCAGTAAAACTACCACTTATGAGTAGTTCGTTAGACGCAATACTATCGACCCCTAGAGGAACTTGTCCTATGCAAAGTGTCTCAATTTCTGCTAAATACATTTATGGAGACAGCCCTACCAAACTGTACAACTCAGTAATAATTGATTCCATACTTAGATGAGAAGTCAACGTAATTGGGCTAACACAAATGGCGTTGTTTGACCCTGCACTTCCCTCGTAACGCTGTCATCAGCTCATAGGGATTCTATTCATCATAAGTTGGCTCCACCTAGGAATACGTCAGACAAAGGGATTCAAAGGATCAAGTCAATCAAATAGGCCCACACCATTAGTCTCCAGCCGCAAGATATATCCTTTCTGAGAATTTGGATGACTCTGAAAATTTGCATATTTAGCATAGTTTTATATCATATCATGCTAAAATGGAATTTCTTACATTTGCTACCCGCCTCTTTAAAATTGTTGAGGGTTGATGCATAATCATAATATACAAGTAGTTGCCTGGCGCGTATGGCTGAGGTGCGAGCGCTCGAGTTTGCCAGCCAACGACTATAAATAGACACAATTTCCGTATAAGGCATTATTGTTATGGCATTTTACGTTGTTGACGTCATTCACAACCGAACGGCCCCTAGTTGTCGTAGATAAAAATGATATTTTAGATATGAACCCAGTATCGGCCACCATTTATATGCATCTAATACTGAAACAATGTTCAAACGAATATCGTTAACGGTTTAAAGAATATTGCACCTATGTCCCAGACTTTGCGTGAAGTATGGCAACGTTGGATCGTCATACCCGGCTTGGCCTTTGACTGAGTAAGAAGTTTCATTCATAATGTGCCTGTGTTGTGTGCGTGTGCACCATCGGGCAAATTGTGTTTTGTGCTTTTAAACTATTTTTTGGTGCGCCAATAGTGTGTTTGACAGGTATACAGTCAGCATCCTAAAGCAGTAAGTGAAGTTAAAAAAGAGGTAAGGAACTCCACTGCCGCTGTCCAATGACTTTATGATTTTACTCAAAATAGGTATTTCAAGGTCGACTTTCCCTTTAATGCACTTCCGTTATTCTTTTAGAATGCCTACTAAACTTACAAAAAGATCTTAATGGGTATCTCTTCTAGGATTCGAAAACGATCATCAGTAGGTGCCCAAAATATGAAGTGTGTGCGGTGGTATAGTTGTATTTACCAGTTCTTGGCGGGTCAAAGTAAGATTACCAGTATCCCTTTATATATCCCCATCTCCCTCATACATACTCATACGTTTTTTAGTTATGTGTCCCCGTCTCGAAAACTTACGCCGTCTCGTATGAGTGCCCTCCAATCATATTTGTCAGAGTGAACTTACTTAATATCGGCAAGCAATTTGAGTTGTTGAAGATTAAGATCTGTTTACTTATTTGATATGGCGTTGATGACGTAACCGCTAAGATCGGTGACTACAACTATTTTTATTATGACATGCCACTTGTTGAAATGCCATTTTTTCTACTGCGGCAGCCATTTTGTTGCGATCTAGAAGTTTCCTCCTTACCCACCAATTTACCACATTGTGGTCTCAACTGCGATGAATTAACCTCGCCAGCGGCCTGCTCGCGACAGGTTTATCTTCGTTGGGCCCAGCGTCAGCATTGAAAATATTTACACTCTTAAGGGCAAATTTACGGAAAAATCAGTGCATGAAGTGTATCTAATAGGCGCGGAGGATTACTAGGGTCAGAAGCGCGTAAATATTTTACCGCCAAGAAATTGAGATACACTCTAACCTCTACCATCTCCCACACTCCAATTTTTCACTATCAATAAGATTTTCTAAAAATGAAACATCATAAAGCGATGCTTGAACGATTCGAATTTTTGCGTCTATTTTCCCTAGCTCCGGCGCGACTCAACCGATTATCAAAAACTAGGAAGTTTTTCTATCCGTTTCACAGTAGTAAGCTTGACTAAAAATTTCATCAAAGTTGCAGCGGTATTTTCCAAGTCATAGACGGGCCCAGAATTAGCGGAGAGGTCGGTACTTAGAAGCCGCGAGGTCAATCCCTCTATTACTGAGCTGGTTCTCTCCACCAAGATACAAAAGATCGAAGATTTAAATCCAACAGCCCTCCACTGACTCTCAGTCAAGAGGTAAGATGCCTTGACGTGGTGCTGAATTGTAGGTTGTCATTGGAGCAGCATGACGACCATATCTACAAGAAGTCGATAGCGACGATTTTGCAGTTGCAGGACTTGGGAATTAAGGCCAAAGGTCCTGCACTAGATTTACAAGACGGTGTTAAGACCTAGGATACAGGCACTCTGGTTACCCGTAAGCTCACCAAGATTCAAAGACCGACGATGCAGGGGATAACTGGTGCGATGAGGGCAGCCCCTTCCTTGACATTCTCCTGCGACTGCCACCACTGGCGCCTGTATAAAGCGGGAGGCGATGTCGGCATACCTAAAGAAGCACGATGAAGGTATGTGGGTGATACAAGAGCTGGTGGTTGGTCATTCCAGGCCCGCGGATGTGACGGAGAGGAATTTCCCAATATCTCCGGTAAGAGGCTGGCTACTGAACTTGGGAGAGAATCGCTCAACCCTTTTTTGGGGTTTCTCACAGGCCACTGTAAACTGAAAATTCACATATCCTTTTTAAAGGTGATGTTGGATCTTATCTGAGATGTGCGCAAGAAAAAGAATGAGACGATGTTCGACTTTCTGGGCTATTGATCCACATGTTGCAGTCTAAGGGATCAGATACTCGGAGCCATCGAGTTCGATGGTTGCTTACTAAGCAAAAATTATCGAATATCCTGAGTCTCGTTGGGATATCAGGAAGAATGTGGGTACTCTCCAGGACGAGAAAAAGTGCTAAAGGTGGCCTACTTGCCTGGTTTCGCGACTCCACTACTACTAAGGTTGTACTTCCCTCGCAACGCTGTCATCAGTACATAAACAGAAGTTAGGCCCTCTGAGAAAAAGGTTAGTTGGGAACATGTACAGCAGAGAAATTTAATGGGTCAAGTCAGTCAAAAAGTCCCATACAATTAGTCCATAGACACATTTTCCCTGCTCTGTCGGTAGTACCGTCCTTCTGGCAACGTCGCCACTTCCGTATTTCGGATCGCAGGACGCGGCACAGCGGCAATAATGGAAGGAGACTCATGGAGAACAGCATGCTGCCAGTGAGCCCAGAGAGAGCAAGAGCAGAGACGCGTATTGAAAACATATTCCAACTCAAATGTGTGGGGAAGCCTATGATATAGGAAACGTATCCAATAGGTGCATAGCATTACCGGGGTTTGGAGAGTATAATATCTACCAACAGCGAGAAATTGAGATATAGCCTTCCCTTCTCCTTACAACCCCAACCCTCGATTTTTTACCCGTACAAATTTGTTTCTGAAAATGGTCAGGAGCTTCTGTAACTTTTGCGATTTGTTTTTATTTTCACTGCTGCTAATATTTTTGAAAACTACAAAGCTTTTTCGTCCTTGTTATAATAGTAACCTAGCGTAATCCATCAAAATCCGAGCGGTACTTCCGAAATTGTTGAGGGGCCAAGGACTACCGGACAGATAAACAGATCGACGGGAATGAGTGACATGGTGTTTTGTGATGTACATTTCATATATAACACCCAAAAACAATTTTATATTTTTAAAACTTCTCGTGTTTGCAACACTTCCTTGTCAGTAGATGTGAGAAGTAAAACGACATTTTTAAACTTATTCAATTCACACTGGCATTCTTCATAGTACAATTTGTCGTGAACTAAAAGAGATTTAACAAAATGCTAATAAATGCTAATAGATTGGAAGGCTAAGCGCTACACAATGAAATTTTTTAGACGAAATCTGTGTCGCGGTCCTGACGACCCTCCTTGTCAGCTTCCAAGTCCGATTAAAGAATCAACTTTCAAGAGACCTGCTACTTATCCTGCTATAGAGCAAAAGATAAAGTAATAAATCCGTTTTAAATGACCCCTTTGTCATCTACAATCTACGCCACGCGCTAGAAGCTATTCCAAAGATTCTTGAGAAAAAATAATAATGGGGAACGATATTAAAACGTCCTGGTACGTGCCTCTCGACGATTTAGTTAGTTCGGATTTCATTTTATGACTCCAGCGATATTACTGGATGAAATTCTCTCTGTGCAGGCTCGATAATTAAAGGTTTCGCACTTAATTAGAATGATTTCGCAACGGCTCAGGCTAGACGTTGAAGGATACGCGTTATAAATCATACTTAAAATTATACCTCGAAGCTCGGGAAATTCGGGTTTAATCCAACAGATCTGGATCCGTACACGTAAGAAGTATTATAATATGGGTGTATCATAGAAGGCCTCGCTAATAAATAATCAGTTATTATTTCTTTCTGGATAAATGAAATACATTTGAATATTTCTTTCACAAGAAGGGCTTAATCATCATTATTTCAACGGTACCGTAAAAGTAAGAATAAGAAAAAAAAGAATATGAAAATATTTTCAAAATAACTTTAATGAGTTTTATATCAGTATCAAAAAAGTTGCCAATAATAATTTCCATTTTAAGTAAAGAACAATTTAAATCAACCAAAGTACATCTTATGTAAGGCCAACATGTTCCAAATGGCGCCGGCAATCTACAATTAAAAGATATAAATAAAATAATGCATTTACTTGAAAGCTTTACTATGAGAAGAATTTTAACGTCCTGGACCGATGCCAACAAAGCATGGAACCTCTGATATGACTAGACTCGAAAGTCCATTTGGAGATCAATTTTGGAAATTAAATTAG